AAGCGGCGGGGCAACTAGGTGTCGACGGAGCTCCGAACGCCCGAGCGAAGGCCAAGTCCAGACCCACGATGGCCAGCGTGACCTCCAGCGCCGGGAACTTCCTTTCGGTAGGGTGGCTGTCTCGCTGTTTTTCGTCTTTCATTTCTTTCTGTATTTATTTATTTTGTCTTAATTTGTTTCGAAGTAATTTTGTTTTGTTTGGTCTGTCTTTTTTCATATACCCTTTTGGTCTGTTTTAGTTCATCTTTGTTGTTTTAGTTTCGTTACTCTTGGTTTTATTTTGCTTTACTGTCGTTCTTTTGTTTTATTGTCGTGTTTTTACTTGGCTCCATTGTCGCTTATGTAACTTTGTCGATTTCTTTCTCGTTTTAATTGTCGTGTTTTTTGTTTCTCTTTTTTTTTTTTGTATCGTTCAAAATGCTATTTCGTTTTTATGGCTTTATTGCCATGACCAAACCCTCCTGTTCCCTTGACGTTCTCTAGTATGAGAGAGGTTTCCTTATTGCATTTTCTGTTTTCGTCTCGTTTCGCGGATTTTATTACCGTCTCCTCGCTGTTTCTCATTTCCCATGCTTTTAATGCCTTTTTGCTTATCTTCGTTCCCTCAATCTTGTTTTGTTGTTTCTTAATCGGTTTATATTATGCACGATTTGGTGAGCTTGCCAGCATCCTGGCAGTTTATCGGCTACGCATACACAAAGAGAGTCCGTTTCCATATACTGTTATCTCTCTAATCGCAGCCGATTACAGTGCGATGGCCCATGGGCGATTGTGACGTGGTGGCCAGTAGTGTGCACGTGTGTGTTAGTGTGTGTGTGTGTGTTGAGAAGTAAGGAGATTTGTAGATGTGATAGAAAAGTGGGAACAAAAGGAGGAAAAAAAATGTGGGGAAAAAATAAGTGAGGAGAAGCTGTGATAGTAGTGTAGTAGATGTAGACACACACACCACAGGAACAAATTGAAATTAAAAAAAGGAGAGAAACCAAAAAAGAAAACAAAAACGATGTGGTGTAGTGTGTAGTGTGCATGATGATGAAGATGAGGGAGGAGAATGTTTGTGTGTGTGTTTTAGTGGTAGTTGATGTGAGTAAAAAAGGAGAGAAAGAAAAAGAAAGAAGAAAAAGGAACAAACAAGAAAGAGGGAGAGGAATAGGTGATTGGTGAGTAAGTGTGATGGTTGTCGTGTGTGAGGGAGAGGAGAATGAAAGTGTAGTGTGTGTGGTGTGTGGTGTGGTTGTGTGATGTGTGTGTGATGTGTGGTGTGTGTGTTGATGTGTGTAGTGTGATGATTCGGTGTGTGGTATGTTCGATGAAATTAGAAGATTACATAAATCGCATTATGTGGTAGCATCTTAGTATTCATTGCAGGAAAAAGTATGTTTTGAAAAGACTATTCAAGAAACTGCGTCAAGGTTTATTTTTTAACAGCTGGTTATCATAGATGTACGTACATACATATCACGTAAAGCAAAATCAGTCATCAAACGCATTGTTATCTAAATGAAGACGAAGCATAGATCGCTGAATGAGGGCCAAATAAGTTAATTATGTGATTTGATGTGTGTGTGTGGCTGAGTGGTGCTGATGTCATGTGAGTGGTGTGGCCTTCACTGGTCCTTGTGTGTGTACTGGTGCCATCACACACACACACCAGCACACCCAGCACGAGCAGCACCACACAGGCACACACACCCACTAGCACACACACACCACACAGCACACGAGCAAACACCACACCACATACGCGCGCGCGGCGACGCAGACGATATTGATAATAGCTTACGCGAGCGTACCAGCGAACTCCGAGATACAAGAGACGAGAAGCTTCGAGCGGAGCACTATGTGAATCCTCCCCATTTACTACAACACGAACGAGTGTCCCATGTCCTTGGTTGAGCTGAGACAAGTTACATTACTCCGCCGCATATAGTTGGCCCGTATCTATAGAAGGTGGTAGTGGAAGTGCCGAATATCTTTCTCATATGACAATGATTGCTTTCGTTTTTCTGTGCTCTGGTAAAGCTTCCATCATCACTAGCACTTTCCGCGTTCCAATTTCTGGGGTTCGGTGCTGAATACTTGAGGCTTTCAACGCGAAGTATCGTCTCGACAAAATCGGACTGCCCCCATGACCAACGGACGGCCTAGCGACGGTTATACCGTTCTGACTAAGTTTGCCGTAGTTGATCTTGATAGCTCAGGTATACAAATATAGATAGTATGATGGTGAAATTGTAAACATAGCTATATGTAATTCGAGACATTGTATATACAATAATCGCATGTGCATATTAGAGTCTCTTAAAATAACGTAATATGCATGAGAATGTTCGTGTGATTCCTGGGACCTCACGCCATGTTTGTTTACATGATTTTCATACGGAGTCTTTCAGAAACGCAATAAAATGACGGAGAAAGAGCTAATTATTGTTAAAGGATATTTTCCTCCTTTGATATTGTTGTCTGTGTTGGTGTAGAACCTATAATAGTAAGGACAATA